CCTACAAGTTCGTCACTAAATCGCTTCTCAAGCAATTTTTCAATCATCTAAATTGACACCGATGGTATTTTAGCTTAGTTCTAGTACTAACACTCTAGTATCTAAAAATCTTTAATTAATTTCGAGCTAATATTCTTTCGGTCAAGTATTTACAGTATTTCTTTTAATTTAGTCACTGAGAATAATACATTCTATCGATGAAAAATTTGAAGGTCGATAAAATTGTATATTTTTCTTCGTTTACATGGAATGTGATGGATATGAACTAAACCAAGAGCGTATGTCGAGAATTAGTTAATTTTACTTCTCACTTGAATAATTTGTTTATGATCGAGTCATAACTAAGTTTGTAGAAACTAAGACCCCATTGTTCAACTTGTAAAAATTATACTAGTGAGAGAATGAGACCCATTGTTGTAGGAATTAATTTTATCGTGTGAAAATTATGTTCCTAACATTTTATTTGGCCCTAAACTGACGTTTATTGAACCAGTTACAAAAACTATTTTCACTCATACAGATCAAACAACGAGCCTTTACATGTGGGAGTTTAAAATTCACTCAAGATTAAGATAGAGTCACACATAATCATCCTATGAAACATTAAGATCTTGATTAACAATTTACAAATAAAAATTAGATATTTTGATGCTTCATCGAACTTTTTGTATGAGATATCACCACTCACACACTCTCACGTGAACGATCTAATCTAAATACAATTATTTGTAACCTTTATAAAGTGGATTGTATCAATAAGACACTCATTTTTATCGGTATACTATATACAGTTTATGTTGCTACTTGAGCGTAATCCTCTCCTCAATTAGTTAAGACATATATCATCTGACTAGAAGACCAAATGTTTAAATTGACATGTTAATAGAAGAGTATGATACTTAAATGGGTTTGAATGATGTATATTTTTTTAACTAGTTGAATTATGCTGTGTTATTTTTATTTTTATTTTTTTTTTCCTAATAATAAATACTACATTGCCCATTTCGAAAAAATTAGAAAATAAATCATTTGGTGACGTTCGTATTCATATTTGGTATGTTTTATTTCTAATTTTTAAAAACATAAGTGTTTTTTCCCCTAAATATTTCAAAAAATGTTTAGAAACCATAAATAGTATGTGAGCCAAAGACCTTATCTTGAACGGTGTTATAAATGGTATGTGAGCAAGACATAACAGACATTATCAACTAACATACTACTATCTCCTAGCAGTGGATTTCAAGAAGAATATTACAATTACATTAAAAAAAACGTCCAAAACATAACCATGAATCTCTTATCCATTCCGGAGTCAACCCAACCCAAAAATTTTATGGCTCAGTATGGTTGGGTTCGGTATTTAATAAGAAATGTTTAAATTGAAAATTAATTTTTCTTTTAAAAAATATATTAAGAAATTCACATTGCCATGTTGTTGAATAATACGGTAAATTATGATTATTTTATTTATAAAATATTTTTTAGATCTCGCATTTAATATCCTCCTACCATATGTAATTTGTAATACATAATGATTTTTATATACCATCATTTATTATACCTTTATAAATGGCTTAAGAGTATTTGTCATTCTCAAATAAATAAATAAAAATAAAACTAGATTTTACTTGGAAATAACTATTTGTGTCCCTTTGATCGTGAGAAGTTACATTTACCGACTATAGTCTTCATTAATTAAACTAGAAAAAAAAAAGTATTACGAAAGTAGTCTAGACAAGTTTCATTTTAAAATCAGCTAACAGTGAAGCCTTAGGCATAGAACCTGAAACTATTAAATTTTGATTTAGGTGATTAAAGAAATTGCTTGAGAAATAATTCAGTCATGAATTTGTAAGCTGCTTCGGTCGGATGGACGCTATCCCAAAACAGGTATTTTGATGAATCTTCACATGTTGGGGTTAATGCATTACATAGAGGCGCTACTTCTGCCAATCCAGTTCCACAACAACCTGTGTTTGTATGCTCAAAACCTGTGCGACCAAAAGCCGCAAGCAAAACTTAGTGGAAAATGATTCTCAGAACTTGATTTATCTAAAATATTTACGACGTTAGATCATATAAGTTGGTAAAGGTTTCTATTTTGATGGGCACCGACTTACCATACTTGTGAGGATTATTGACCATGTCGATGAGAGGGGTGTAAATGTCAGCGTACAATATTGTGCTTCCATGTAGTTGCGATGGCAGATTGCCCAACAACTTTGAAAGCTTCTGATTATAGGATATGGAGTCCGAGTTTTGATCTTCCAAACATATTCGCGTTAGAGGAAGTTGAAACGATATAGTCTCTTGAATGGGAAGGCAACCAATAGGAGGTAGGCCAGCAACCACTATATTGCGACATCCAAGCTCGTAAATTTCCTGTTTAGTATGTTTGAGTTCATAAGCTTATGTGAATGAATTTGGATTATTATGCGATCAAATATTGATGAGGGTTAATAGTGTGCATATGGTTTAATTTACCTTGATGAAGCTTTGTAGTCTATCTTGGATAAAATCTTGGTAACCGCTAATATTGTATTGTAGTTTCCTTACCGGAAGGTCGTAGAAATTTTTGGTAAAGTCATTAGTTCCTGCACTAAGAATAACTAAAGCACTACCAATAATTTTCTTACTTTCATCTACACCTACAATCTCGGTAAGTCTTTGAATATAGTTCTTGAACATATCAACTTGCATCATCATTGGAATAACTTTGTATATCATAGTAGTTAGATCATCAAACCCTGAGCCAGCTGATGCAAAACTAACTCCTGTTTTCACGTCATCATTTGACAATTTTGGATCCAAGAATGGAGGAACAAGCTCCTTTATGCCCAACCTAGAGGCCACCATGTCAGGAATGAGTTTTCCATTACTGAACCTTCCAGTAGCAATATGATTGGGAAAATCTTTGCCATAAGGAGAGTAATTAGCCTTTATAATGGTGGGAATGAAGTTGTTATTTCCCGTATCTACTGTAGAATCACCGAAAATAAGAATGGCAGGAAAAGATCTAAAATTTTTAAGATCAGAAGCACTACACAATTTGATCATATATAATGACCAAACGATCTGGAGCGATAGAGCAGCAATGAGATAATTCACTCGTGCCATTGTCGGTGTTCTTCAAGTTGTTTTTGATATCATCTTTGTCGATGGATGTATGTATTAATAGGGTCTGAAAGATATTAAAAGTAAGTTCTTTATGGTTTCTACATGGAGTTATTTAGTTGTTAGCAATTTAAGGCCATTGAATGCTATATAGTTTCAAAATGGTTCATTCCTTTTATTTGTCCTTTTTTTTTTTTTTCTAAAAAAAAAATAATATAGTTTATTTGTTAATTTATATAGTTGAGAATAAGGTATCAAAAACAACTACATGAGTCGATGACAGAGAAGTTATTGAGTATCAAATTGAAAGGGGTGTCAACTATAGACGGTAAAGTCGTTAATCTCAAAAAATAATAAACAACAATCAATGAGATGCTATGACTAGCATGTAGCGGATTCGGTTGGACGAAGAGTTCAAATGCATCAAGGTGGACAAGAAGGTGTTTGGGTTAGGGTAAAATGAAATTTGTATTGTTTTAAAGCGAATACTAATATTTAATATTTTACACATAGCATCGTCCAAATGCAAAAGACGTGTTAGAACAAATCATATCGACATTAATATGACTTGAAAAGAAATAAAATGACTCATTGCATTTTCTTGAGTTATAGTCCCCCTCATAAAAGGTTTTGTTGTCTTGATCCAATCACCACTAGGCTATATATCACCGGTCACATTCAATTCGATGAAGCTCATTTTTCTGCTGTCCCTAGGTCTCTTTCCTCTTTTCATATTTCAAATTTCTTGGAGCCACGTCTTTTACCATATTGATCCCCTCTGCACATTCCTCGATCTAGCTCATCTTTATGTGATATTTGTTATGACCTTGTGGATGAGTATGTGCAAATTGATACTTCTCTTGCAGGTTCCTCTTTGCCTCCCTCGGCTTATGATTCGCCCCCTATTGAACTTGCTACTGATTCTTCATCTTCTTTGAGTTTTGATCCTACGATCACACGAGCAAAAGTTTATATTTTCAAAACTCATCATCCAACAATTTTTTATGTTTTGAGCTCATTTGGACTTCTTTTTGCTCTTCTTGCATTCATTGAGCCAAGAAAATTTGAATGTACGGATAAGAATTGTGTTTGGATTGTTGTCATGGATGAGGAAATTCGAGCTTTACAATAAACAACACTTAGATTTTGGTTCTTCGCCCGTGCAACACGTGGGCTCTAAATGAGTTTTAACACTAACTATTTGCTCGATGAATCTGTTGAGTTTTTCAAGACTCGTCTTGTTGCCAAAGGTTATACTAAGATTTCTTGTCTCAACTACACTCACACTTTCAGCCCTGTTGTTAAAGTTACTACTATCGGCGGTCGTTGTGACGCCTTCAACCCTTCTTACCCGATTTAACCTTTCTATAGAACAGAGGCTACGAAGGTACAAGCCTTCTTAGAAAAAGGAAAAGAAAAGAGAGGGCTAGGATTTTTGAAAGAGGAAGCTGAAAGTGAGATCCAAACTCAAATTTGCGGCTTTTGGTCGAGAATCCTTCATAGAAGTGGCTCAAAACATTATCGAAATCGATTAGTAATTGATGAAAAATCCAAAATATGATTTATGAATTTAAGGATAGTATTTAGGTTTAAATTATGACTTTTACGTGATTGTTTATCATATTGACCAAATCTTGTGAAGAGATCTCAAAGAGAAAATGCTTGAATCCAACCATGATAAGAATTAAGAAACACCCTTATTATGAATGAGAATATTTTTTCCACCCTTGATTAAATTGCATGTTTGATTTCACTGTTAGAAGATATTTAAACCTTATTTTAAATGTGTTTTCACCTTATTCGCACTATTTATGAATATTGAAGTTAATGACAAATTTTAAAGTTAAAACGAACTTTAAATATTATTTGCTTGAACCAATTCATGACATATCCGTAGTAATAGGTTTATTTTAAAAGAAAAATAAGTCCATTACAATGGATGTTAATGGGACTTCTAAGACTATATGGTGGCAGCTACTTTGTGGTGGGCGTGGTGGTGGTGAGGGCTTGGGGCACCTTCTTTGTGGTGGGCGTGGTGGGGGTGGTGGGGGTGGTGGGGGTGGCTTGGAGCAGCTACATGATGGTGGCCGTGGTGGTGGTGGTGGTGAGGGCTTGATGCAGCTACTTGGTGGTGACTGCCATGATGAGTTGGTGCAACAACAGGGTTGCCGTGAGATTCAACAGATTCGATGACATTGAACTTGGACTGCGTAGGCAGGTGGTGGTGGGGGCTTGGAGCAGCCACATGATGGTGGCCATGGTGGTGGTGGTGGTGGTGGTGAGGGCTTGGAGCAGCTACATGATGGTGGCCATGGCGGTGGTGGTGAGGGCTTGATGCACCGTGACTGTCATGATGAGTTGGTGCAACAACAGGGTTGCCATGAGATTCGGCAGATTCGATGACATTGAACTTGGACTGCGCAGGCGCATGGTGGTGATGGTGGTGGTGGCGGTGGTGATGATGTGGGCCTGGAGCGGCTGCTTTGTGGTGGCTGTCGTGGTGAGTTGGTGCAGGAGCTAGGCTTTCATGAGATTCAGTAGCTTCAAAGACATTGAAACTACAATAGAAAAGAAACAGAAGCACACAAACACTTGTTCTAAGAGAAGCCATTTGAATATGATATGAACTTCTTCTAAGCTTGAAGGGTCATATATATATATATATAAAATAAATAAATAAAATAAATAAATAATGGTTCATAATCAATTGAAAAAGATCCTAAATTGAGAGTATACTATATAATTAAGTAAAAGTTGAATAGTCTTGTCTAGAGGGTGGTGTTAGTCAATTTAACTCGATTTTCATCTATATTTGGATTTTAAAATAAAGAACTAAACTCACATTCCATATATGAATTCAACAAATTTCTTAATTAAAGTTTTTTATTTAATTTATAATGTCAATTTAAGAATTTGATTCCGGAATGTTTTCGTTCAACAAATTAAGAAGAAAAATATTAAGAACGGAAGGTGGAAAGAGAAAAGGTCGTGTAGGATAATCTTTAATTTCTCTATTTTTTCTAATAAAATAATAATGTATAGACTTAAATGTTCATAATAAAATTTTAAAACAATATAGTAATCAACCAGGAAAAATGACTAAAATATGGAAGAGAATATGCACGACTAAAATACAAGTGAAACAATATTGATGAGTATGTTATGCATGATTTAAGAAATTATCAATATGTTCCTATGATGAGATTTGTAATGATTGTTGTTTTATATGTTTTCCGCTGTGTTAGAAAGGATGATGGACTATTGCGATATGTGCTTTGGGTGATCGATGGATGGTATCTCCCCGTTGAACTTGTTTGCTTGTATGTGAGCATGATACACTCTGTGTTAGCTTCAGGTGTTTGATTGTGTGTTCTCACTATGGAGTGTGTTTACTTGCACAGAGCTAAGACGTTAGAGTTAGGTTGGCTAGACGATGACCTAGGTTAGGATGTTTTCAGTAGACTGAGCACTTTAGGGTCGTGAGTGTCAATAGAGGTTCTAGTTCCTTGTAATAGCCCACAAATAATAATAATAATAAATAAATAAATAAAATAAATATACAAATAATAAAATAGAAATAATTATTGTGATGTGATATGTTATGTTTAGATTGTTTGTGTGACCATTGAAGTAATTGTTGTATGAATTGCACGTTATGAAATGACATGTTAAAAGCATGGATTGTTATGTTATGTTTTCAAAATTGTATGTATACAACATGTTATGAATGACATGATATCATGATAAATGAAATGAAATGTAACACCGCTAGGATTATGTATGATACGTGGATCGAAAAATGAGAAATGATATGTTAAGCATGAAAGATGATAGCGGAATTATATTCATTAATGATAAAATTAGAAATATTGGGGACCTCATGTAACACGCCTAATTTTCTCTAACCTAATTAGGGACGTTACCTTGCACTCGTATGACAAAAGTATGAAAATTTATGTAAGACAACCTCAATAGCGACGACATGTTCATTATTATAAGTAGTTCATATATGGGGAAAACAATAGCGACAACCTAACTAAGAAATAAATCAACATGTAACTAGGAGAAATAATTGCAATTTAACTATCATTCGAAAGAATCCAAACAAGATACCTACGACACTACAAGCCCTCCCTAAGACTTCCATAGCCTTCGCAGCGTTCACCGTCAGCCGTACATGGGGGCCTTGCACTTACCTGAAAATATGGGTAGCACGTGGCTTGAGTATTATATAAAATACCCAGTAAGTCACCCCACTATTGGGGTTAAGCATACAACATACATTCAGAACACATGTCGGTCGCATACAACACACATACATAAGCACAATTACCAAAAGAAAGAAAACGTGAGAGGGACCTGTCTTCCATTCCTTTCCATGGCCTTAGGCCCTTTCTTTCTCCAGGCAGGGTGGATGCATGGTAGCTCCCCACGCATGGCCCACGTACGTAACCATGGGCCCACCAGGCGAGTTCGCATGTTAACTCCCTGGGCCTGGCTTGGTCGGGTACGTATGGCATACAATACTGGACGCCACGGAAAAGGAGGGCCTACATGATATCATAGCAAGCATAATATCGAACCTATGCGTCTGTACCATCATTAACATAACGGGGAAATAATCCCGTGTACATAGCACATACGTGCATAAGGTCCCTAAGGTTTACTTCCATGACATTATACATACAAAAGTTCCATCCCCTCACCTTACCTCCATGGCATTATGCATACAAAAGTTCCATCCTCTCACCGCATTACACAGCATAACTTGGTTAAACATCGAGCAAGCATATCGTAGCACACTAGTCATCACATTCATGGCATGCGGAGTTCTCATTACAATCGTGACATGTCAATCAAGCTCATGCATACAAGGTAGCAAGTCATGGCATAAACATCACATACATAAACATGACATATGTAGCATTTCACGGCAAGAAACATAAAACCTAGCATACATCAACAACACACATGGTGCATGCAAGGGCCACAGGGTAGCACCATCGTACATACATAACTAACACCAACCGTAAGGTTACTTACCTCTTGGCCTTTGTCGAAGTTACTCGTGATAATCTAATGTCCACGTCTAACTACCTCCAATAACACCACAATACATTTAGCATCCTTTCATGATGTAACCCAACCAAACCTTATGTCTAGCTATCAAGGTAAGTTCCTATCATGATCTGTGTTTAATAATTAAGAGTTACACTGACCTCAGATGCATAAAATAAGGGCGGAAATGGCTCAAGAAGGGTCGAAAACTAGGAATTGGTATATTTTTTTGTATACCAAGTCGTTAAGCTGAGTCGTCAAGCCACACCGCCGAGCCAAGCCAAGCCGCAGAGCCGAAACACTGAGCCGACAAGCCGAGAAGGTTCCTGGTGGCGCACAACTCCTGGATGCAGGCTGGTATCATTGGTCTTGGGCTGGAATGGATACGTGGCCCAAAGTTAGTGTCTGACGCGGACTGCAAGGCGCAGGCCGCAACAGTGGGCCACACGTTGGCTGAGCGAGCTCACGTGTACTCGAAGAATCCAACCCGCAACATGCTGCTTTGTCTTCCTCACCCGAGAATCCCGATGAACCCTAATCGCAGAGTTCGACTGCCGTTGCCGATGAGACCACCGCCTTCCATTAGTCCTTGGTGGTGCGTTTGTCCCGCTTGTTATGAAGTACCCTGGCATCGGTTTGCTCCTACCTAAGGACTCACAAACGATTTCTTGAGATTAGTAGTGAGTGAGTTTCTTTTGTGTCGTGAGTAGTCTGTGACTCTGCAAGTCTTGTTTCGAAAGAGCTTGTTTGGTATTACTGAAGTATAGCCAACACGATGGGTGATTTCCAAATCATTGGAGGAATCAAGAAACTCTACCACAACAAATACAACACGTGGGCAACATGCATGATGTTCTATTTACAAGAACATGATCTTTGGAAGATCGTTGGTGGGTGCGAAACTACGCCGCCAGAGGATGATTCTAACGATGTCTTGCACAAATGGAGAATCAAAGCAGGAAAAGCATGTTTGCCCTGAAGACCACAATCGAAAAAGGGATGTTAGAGCATATTTGGGATGACAAGACACCAAAAGAAGCATGTGACACATTCGTGATGTTGTTCTTAAAGAAGAACGATGCGAGACTACTGGAGAACGAGTTGTCAATTTCACAACGTGATATGACAATTGCTCAGTATTTCCACAAGGTCAAGTCGACCTGTCAGGAGATTACTGAACTAGACCTAAAATTCGCAATTGGAGAAGATCGAATGAAGAGGATCATAATCCAAGATTGTTTCCAATGCATAAAAGTTTTGTTGTCTTGTTCCAACCACCACTAGGCTATATATCACCCGTCACATTCAATTCGATGAAGCTCATTTTCCTACTGTCCCTAGGTCTCTTTCCTCTTTTCATATTTCAAATTTCTTGGAGCCGCGTATTTACCATATTGATCCCCCTACCCCTTCTTCACTGCACACTCCTCGATCTAGCTCCTCTCCATGTGATATTTGTTATGACCTTGTGGATGAGTATGTGCAAATTGGTACTTCTCTTCCAGGTTCCTCTTTTCCATCCTCGGCTTCTGATTCGACCTCTATTGAACTTCTGTTGATTCCTTATCTTCTTTGGGCTTTGATCCTATGATCACACGAGCAAAGGTTGATATTTTCAAAACTTGTCATCCAACAATTTTTTATGTTTTGGGCTTATTTGGACTTCTTTTTGCTCTTCTTGCATTCATTGAGCCAAGAGAATTCAAATCTACTGCTAAGAATCGTGTTTGGATTGTTGCCATGGGTGAGGAAATTCGAGCTATACAACAAATGACACTTAGATTTTAGTTCTTCGCCCGTGCAACACCAATATCGTGGGCTCTAAATGGGTGTTTAACACTAATTATTTGCTCGAAGAATCTGTTGAGCATTTCAAGACTCATCTTGTTGCCAAAGGTTATACTCAGATTTCTTGTCTCAATTACACTCCCCTTTCAGCCCTGTTGTTAAAGTTGGCCGTTGTGACGCCTTCAACCCTTCTTACCCAATTTAGCCTTTCTATAACACCAAGGCTACGAAGGTACGAGTCTTCTTAGAAGAAGGAAAATAAAAGAGGGGCTAGGATTTTCAAACTCAAATTTGGGGGGTTCAGGATAGCTTTTGGTCGAGAATCCTTCACAAAAGTGGCTCAAAACATGATTCTTCATAGGTCTAGACATTTGAATTACCGAAATCGATCAATAATAGAGGAAGAGCGGAAGGTATGATTTATGAATTTATGAATTATTTCATTTAAATTATGACTTTTAGGTGATTATTTGGATCTAAAATTTGTTCATTCTATTTTAGGAGGTAATATGGACCAAATCTTGTGAAGAGATCCTAGAGAGAAAATGCTTGGAATCCAAAAATGGTGAGAATCAAGAAATTGCATGTTTGAATGAGAATATTTTTTTTCCACCCGTCAATGAAATTGCATGTTTGATTTAGCTGTGAAAAGATGTTTAAACCTTATTTTTAACTGTGTTTCCACCGTATTAGTTTTAACTTTAGATATTTTTCTCTTGGACAATTCATGACAAGATTAATAGGTTTATTTTAAGAGAAATATAAGTCAATTACCATGGATGTTGATGAGGCTTCTGGCGACTATATGGTGGCAGCTACTTTGTGGTGGCATGGTGGTCGTGGTAAGGGCTTGGGGCTACTTTGTGGTGGGCATGGTGGGGGTGGTGAGGGCTTGAGACAGCTACTTTGTGGTGGGCATGGGGGTGGTGGTGAGGGCTTAGGGCAGCTACTTTGTGGTGGGCAAGGTGGGGTCGCTTGGGGCAACTACTTTGCGGTGGGCATGGTGAGGGTTGCTTGGAGCAGCTACATGATGGTGGCCGTAGTGGTGGTGAGAGCTTGGTGGTGACTGCCATGATGAGTTGCTGCAACAACAGGGTTGTCGTGAGATTCAACAGATTCGATGACATTGAACTTGGACTGCGTAGGACTGTGGTGGTGGTGATGGTGATGGTGAGGGCTTGGAGCAGCCACATTATGGTGGCCATGGTGTGGTGGTGAGGGCTTGGAGCAGCTACATCATGGTGGCATGGTGGTGGTGGTGAGGGCTGTTATCTTTTACTGAGCAATTCGCCTGATGAGAAATACTTGGCCTGATGAGAAATACTTGACGAAAGAAAAATTGGGTAAGAATTTGTTGGGAGAAGAAAAAATCAGAAAAGCCAAAGAGAATAATAGATAGAGGAAGAGTACAATAGAGGAAGAGTACAGAAGATCTGGGACTTGACTTTGCTCAAAGATATGGTGAAAATATTTATTCGTTTCAAATGGTCACCTAAAAATACATGTTCCATTATAACATGTAACGTTAATTCAAATGCCTAAAATCAAAAATCAACCAAGTTTGAAACCGGTGAATAACCTAAAATAAAGAAAAAGCATAGTTTTTTATCAAATAATCTCTTCCTAGAACCTGTGTATATCTACCTTATTATTTGAACTCTCATCTTTCAGCGTAGTTCCTCAAATTTTACGGACTTAGTGAAAATGTCTCCAAGTTGTTCCTCTGTTCAGATGAAGCCAATCTTGATAAGCCCCAGATCTGCACATTCCCGAATGTAATGGAACCTGATATCTATATGCTTGCTCCGGTCGTGCAAAATTAATTTTTTGATCAGGGAGATCATAGCTTTGTTGTCCACGCACAATATTGGTGGACCGCCTTCTCTTCTGGTGAGTTCTTTCATCAGCCGGGCATGCCAGACCACTTGTGTGGCTGCTGTCAAAGCGGCGATGTACTTGTATTCGCAAGAAGACAAAAAAAACTACCTTTTGCTTAGTTGATTGCCAGCAGAGATCGTGTCGCCTAAGAAGAAGTAAATCATCCCTTGGTGCTCTTATGATCATCAACGTCACCGGCCATGTCATTATCACTGTAGCCGACTAGCTCAAGCTTCTCCTTTCATCTCCTTGCATAGTACTCACACCCCTACCTCTAGTTCCAGCCACATAGCGCAGGATGCGCTTGACAGCCACAAGATGCTCCTCCCTAGGTGCTTCCATAAACCTACTCACGTATCCAACGGAATAAGCAAGATCAGGGCGTATGTTTACCAGATAGCGCAGGATCCTGACAATGTTGTGGTAATTGGTGGCCTCCACTGCCGTCGTAGTGTCGGCCTTCCTTAACTGGAGTCGGGCCTCCATTGGTGTCCTTGAAGGGTTACTGTCCGCTAGCCCAGCTGTGTCCAGCAGCTTCTTCGCATACGCACTTTGGCAAATGGTGATCCTGGCAGTACTCTGTTGTACTTCAATGTTGAGGTAACAGCTAAGTGTCACGGTCCTGCCTTCTTGATCGTGCGGCGTCGTGATCTATACACGCTCACGACTAGCCTTAAGGGGAATTAAGCCCCATATGTATTTTTTGCCCCGGATTTGTGGCTTCGTCGGACCTTAAGCGAGGTTTGTCTTCGCCAATCGAACATCGCTTGTGCGGAATCCAAGCTTGTTCAACCACATACGTCGCCTGTGCGTGTATGTTCAATCATCTGCGACACATCCGACTTGCCTCTACGCTAGACTAACTCATTCAGCTCGACCTTGCCTCTACTCGAGCCAAGGTCTCTCAATATAACGTCGCATCTCATCTTGTCATCTCGATCCCCATCGATAGGGTCCATATGTCTTGGCGCCATCCCGAGTCTCGGGATATCGTAGGCCATCATAACTCATTCGATCATGCCATCGAGAATGGGCCAGCATGTCGTTCATCTCATCGGGACTTCCCGAACATCCATCCATCTGGGTTCTATCGAGGCATAGGTCTTCCCGTGCCCATGCCGAGTCATTTACAGATACCGTCCCGGATAGCGGGTGTATGTAGCAACCTCCAACACATGGGCTAGGGTGCAATACCGGCACACCCGTGTCGTCCGGTACTGTCCTTCAAAAACCCATTTCAAAGGAAGTCGCTCGAGATACTCGTCTCGGCACGCTCGCCCACACTGTGACACACGTATGTGCCATAGGGTAGCTCACTTAGGCCAAAGGACCCAGGGGTGGTGGAGAGCTAACACCATGGTACCCCTCTAGTACATTTTGAGCCATTTTCATTCTACTAGGTGTAGACATGATTTTGGTGAGGTGTCATACGGTGTCGTGCATTGTCCGTCCAATGTTCGATTGACACCAAACTTGGCGAGCATTCATATTTCATATGGACGGACTTAACTCTCGAACCACATGCCCAAATCCCTTCCGAAACCCTGACTTTGAGGTTAAGGCCCGGGGCCCTACCTGGCCCTTCAACAAGCCTATCTTGTCCTTCATGTCTATGCTGATTTCTCTGTTATGCTTATGTCTCAACATATATCTTCAATACCCACTTTGCGTGGGGGTGTGTTGGATGATGCATCGTCCTCCTCGATTGCATCATGGCATTCTTCTATGTTGACCCACATATGGCCGGATGGGGCGTCTCTTGAGGGACGCCCCTTTGCTTGTCATGGCGTGAGGGTCACAACCTACTCTCTTCATACTATGGTTGTGACATTCTCCTCCACTTAACTTAGTCATCGTCCTCGATGACTTACTCGAATCACAATCATATTGCAGATTGTGACACTAAGCACACCGAGATCGCTCATCTTGAAGTTCTTTGACATCTCCCTCTTGAATCTTCCAAGAACTTCCATGTCCCCTCTAGAGATTATGAGGTCGTTGACGTACACTCCCACAATCAGCCCCTCCTCGCCATGCCCGTGCATGTACATGCCATGCTCAGATGCACAGCACTTGAACTTCAACGACAGTAGGGTACTGTCGAGCTAAGCATTCCAGGCTCGTGCTTGCTTGCCGAAGTCCGTAGAGTGCCTTGTGCAGGCGCAGTACCTTACTGGAGTTGTCGTTTTCCAGGAAGCCAAGTGATTGTTAGACGTAGACAGTCCCCTCCAACTATCCGTTAAGGAAAGCGGACTTCACGACCATGTGGTGGACGTCCCAAGAGTAATGTGTCATGATTTCCAGCAACAAGCGGACGGAATCCAACCATGCCACCAGCGTGAATACCTCTTCGAAATCCACTCTTTGTTTCTGGACGTAGCTCTTCGCCACCAAACGAGCCTTATGCTTCACAACTTCTCCCTCTTCATTCCGCTTTAATTTGAACACTCATTTAAGCCCCCCCCCCCCCCCCCCCCCCCCCCCCCCCCCCCCCCCCCCCCCCCCCCCCCCCCCCCCC